TTCTGTAGATACGAACTTTTCTTATTTCTGAAGATACGAACTTTTTGTATTTGTGTAGATACGAACTTTTCTTATTTCTGTAGATACGAACTTCTCTTATTTCTGTAGATACGAACTTTTCTTATTTCTGTAGATACGAACTTTTCTTATTTCTGTAGATACGAACTTTTCTTATTTCTGAAGATACGAACTTTTCTTATTTCTGTAGATACGAACTTTTCTTATTTCTGAAGATACGATTAATGCAGAAAATATTTGCGCAGTCATTTTGATTTTTGGAAGCATTATACATATACTCCCATCTAAATTCCTTGCATGAAATTCCATCCTCAAATCACATCACGGCTTTCTATTTGAATAAGCTTTTATTTCATGCTGCAGACAGAATTTGTCTTTCGTGCAAAAGAATAAATTAGTAACAAATAGATTTATTAAACAAGTTTGATGCCATTTACTATAAAGGAGGATCTTCTTTAGTCGACATAGAGATGATTTTCTATTCAATATGAACCTTAAAGGAACCCCTTTTTGTTTACCTTTACTACTTGATTTTATGAATTTCGTTTAATAAATAATCTTTATCTGATAATGGTTTTGTAGCGTCAAATTGGTGTTGCTTTTAGCTAATAGAAATGATAAATGCGATCAACCAAGCACAATTTTTTTACTTTTCTAATAAAAAAACATATCCTTTGAAATAAAGTTATCTATTTAACAATATGATTAGGAAATAATTTCGCATTAAAAAAACCAACAGGCATAGAAAATACCGCCCAATTACATCGTATCAATATAAGACTTATTCTTGTGACTGAGAAAAGAAAGGCAAAACGACGCTCATCAAGAAGAAATGATTACCATTAAAACGATTATTTCTACTCTTAAGTATTGAAAATCTGGGATAAATTGGACAGCACCCAGTGCAGGGGAATCACCTAGAATTTCTCGCAATTTAGGGAAAAAATTATTTTCCTCCTGATGTAATCAACTTCCTAATTGAGGTTTGATTGACGTCGCCGCGTGCCCGCTAACTGGGGTTCGAGGCTTTAAAACGAGTTGAGCCTACCTTTTACAGGTAATTTGGCGCGCTGCAGTGTTTACGTTAGGTAACGTTATAATTTTGATTTTGTATATTTTGTAGAACTCTTAATTTTTTAGATTTTGTTTTTTTTTAAATGCATGCCAGTGCTGGAATTTGAAATATTTTTTCTATTACACAGTTAACTTTGCAAGAATTAATTTATATGTTTAAATAATGCAATTTTTTTTTTCAAACTGACAAATTAACCATGTAAAAAAAATTGTGTTGGTGCATTGGTTTATTCCAGACCAAATTAACTTTAAATTCTGTTAAATTTGATTTAATTGCATCAATGATGTTTTTAGGAAAATTAACTCTATTGAGGTCAATGTACTTCTATTTTACTTCTATTTTACTTCCAACTTGTCATTGATTCTTTAACTAAGGTTGAAGGCTCCTAGTGTATGAAATATATGTTTAAATGACGTAATCAATGGAATATCTCAAGTTATGTTTGCAATCTATGTTTTAATGTAATTGTTTAGCGATCAACAGGTACAAATACTAAGTAAGGTTTATATAGACAGCATGGAACTTTGTAGTTATTTTGATTGTATTTTTTTCAGTATTTATATGATATATCAGTGGTTAAAATGTCAGGAAACGATGCCCCTATGATGTCCTATCATGAACTTAAAACACCTGCAGGTAAGCATCAAGTAAATGATATACTACTTAAAATATATTTCATTAATATATAAATATTCCAAAAAATATGTCAGATGAAATTTTAAAAAGATTTGGGTTTATTTTTTTCATGTGTAAGACTCTTTTATTTTGTTTTTGATTTTCATTTCATTTTCATATATTGATTTGATTTTTGTAAATATTTTATATAATTTGATTTTTAAACACTCTTTATATATATTTCTATGCATATAACGAATTGAAATATATCTATATATTTAAAAACTTCATTTAATTTATTTATTCTTTGATTATTCATCTATTCATTTATTCATTCATTCATTTATTCATTCATTCATTTAGAATCAAGTCACATGATACCATCTACGGAAAACATTGAAACCGATATCACGAATAAATTTAATGAAAACAATATATTCACACCGACCTGTGATTATTCCTGCAACTCAGCCGTCCAACAAATTATTGCCGATATCAGCAACGGTGAGTGAATTCTTTTCGATTTTGTTTTCAACGTGGCGGTAAATTATTTCTAGAATGAGGTTTTTCATTTCCTTGGTTTCATTATGATACGGCGTTAACCTTTTTTATGGAGATTTTTATCTATAAACCATCAACTTTATACACACATCATTTCCATTACACTTTTATAACGGAAAATCGACGTTATCCGATACAAATTGTACTTGACTTGAAAGTTGTTTTGTTCTTTTCAGAAAGCTCTTTATTATCACCAACAATTTCCCCTTCGTCCGCCCAGTACGACAGTCTAGAATGTTTTACAGATTATTATCTTAAATATCCATCAGATGGTGAATCTACTCCTTCGTCATCAACGTCTTCCAACACCTCCTTCTTCTCAGATGGTAAGTGCTATTTCAAAGTAAAACCTCATTTGAAGAAACATATAAAGGTAGTTATAATGTACATCGGCATGGTTACATCGAGCAAATGGCGACTGTGAGTTCTGATCTAGAACATCTTCACTCATAATTCCAGTCGACCCAGATGTAAATGGGTACGGTCAATCTGGGAAAGATCAATGTCAAGAGGTTTGGCCAAGGACCAGCTGGTAGATAGGATCCTTAACTTGTTATTCTTGTACAATATAGTTGTTTCTTCTTTTCTTTCTTTCTTTCTGTACCAGGAGTCGATGTGTAAAGATAGACATTATTTCAGAAAACTAGAGAGGTTACATGGTTGTGCGTTTTCAGCAACAGAAGCACTCTAAAACCTTGCTGGACCCATGTTGAATGAATTCTTATAATCTATTGTAGATTGCGTAAGAGTTACCAATGAAACAATGCGTTACAGTGACACAGTGTCAGAGAGTTTGTACCAACCTAACTGTTACAATGCAAACCCCACAGGTGAGTTAGTGTACTATTTATTAAATATTTCTATCACTAAGTGAATCACTAACGGACAAAGACATGTTGGCGATACTGTATGTTTGTATTGCATAGTCGGGGACAGTTCTGTAGTGAAATCAAACGTCGGTATGCTGGTTAGTGCGTTTCTCGCTCTGTCATTCACCATTTTCGCTCACCATTTAATACGGAGCTGTCCCCTCCAACTGAAGGAAAATATGGAAAAAGCGTCTTCGTTCGGAAGACTGTATTGTTAAAAGGTCCCTCGAAAGTTGGAAATCCAAAAAAGGAAAAGCTTATATTGTCCGTCTTCAATAGCTCAATCAGGTTTAAACTATAAGATAACGCCAATCTCCATTCTTTTCACTTCACTGCCTCTTAGATTAGCCAAAATGCACATCACATGGGATTTTGCACAATGAGATTCAGACTTTCAGGATGCCGGAATAACCCCCCTATAACTTATTTGCGTGTGTTTATTTTTATGTATTTTCCTTGCAGAGTGGAACACATCCCTCGAATGTCCATCTCAAGAAGATCTGGTCAATTCAGGTAAAGCACATTATTGTTCAATGTTTAAGCGATAAATTATGTACATGTATATGACAATAGATCTTCTAGTGCACATTTGGGGCCTAATTGTTTCAGCCAGTTAGAAGTACTTGCTTGTTCGATACACAGAGAGTTGAGTACATGCAAATGACGTACAGGACGTGTTAAGATTTATTTTAAAAATAAGAACAGTTTGTCCCGTTTCGGCACTGCAATTTGCAGGAACAAGTGTTGAAGATTCGTCAATAAATAGCATGCCACTCGTACTGCAAGCATGGAATCAATGCTTAAATGAAGTATAAGCAAACGTAAACGCACAACTTTGCAACGTTTGCGCTCAGACTTGAGACGTCTTTGACTGTTTTATTAATTCCGTACGGTTAACACAAAACTTGTTTTTTCAGTAGCACCATACCCCAATAGGTTAATGCAGCTAGAATCTGGGTGTAAAGAATATGGTGCAAATATCCAGGGTTACTGGTATAATTATGATCCAAAAGACAAAAATATTATGGGTAAGAACTGTTAATGACAGGAAACTGTAGGTCAAGATTCCGAGTCAGTAGTTGTGGGTTTCAAGGATAATATTCCCCACTGAAAAAGTCTTGGAAGAGACTTGGAAGACTTATTCAATTTCTCGAAACAGAGGCTTAAATAACGCATGTTGCTGTGTGTGCTCATACTCATTAGATCCTACGCAAACACCAAAAGGCAGTCTGTTAATTCTGGATCTAGCCATCCATATCTGTTTCTTGGATTTTGATCGCTGCTCCGTATAATTCTGTACATTTAGTCAGTTCAATAATACTGTCGTATGCTATTGTATCTCTCTTCATACCTTCTAGGGCTTTGTTGTCTTCCTTTCACCACTTTCTGTATTCTTTGGATCTTATTTTCAGATGAGACATCCCCAAATCAAGTAACACCACCAGTTAGAAGACAACTTACTTATGAACATAAAAAAGGTAAACGATTGCTTATTTTGTATGTGTTTTATATTTCCAATGTACATCCATTTCTGTACAAGAACTACATCTTCATTTCAGATCTGTTTAATTCAAAGTAATTAAAAGTGTCTGTACTCTGTTTTTATATACCTTTACAATTGGTTCTATGACAGAATTCACTAGCGCTCTTATCAGAACGACTGATGCAATTAAGCTTGCGGAATGTCATCTTGCATCCATCTTATAGAGTTCACCTAGCTTCGGACACGATTTTATAAAATAATCTTCTGATGCGACCCTGGAAGATTAGTTTATACTTTGAGTAAAAAATTGCATATTTCAGGTCAAAGGTCAGAAAGGTTATGGGAGTTTATTCGAGGGCTCTTATTAAATCCAAAATTCAACCCATCATTGGCTGAATGGGTGGACAGACGTCATGGTTTGTTCAGATTTAACCAATCAAAAGCCGTGGCACAACTTTGGGGTAGCAGAAAAAATAATGATAACATGACGTATGAGAAGTTAAGCCGGGCAATGAGGTAAGCTTCTCCTAATTCTCCCGATTCTTCTCATTCTTAAGCCTGATTCAATAATGCAAATCGCTTTCAACGAATATCAATGAACACCTTTCTGTAACTGTTTCTTTGATTCACTTTATTCTGACACATTTGAAACCAAAAGATCACCATCTACAGCCAGTAGCAACATTGTCTTCGTTTTCATCACCATTAACAATCATTATTTACCTCCTTCTCCCCCTACCCCTCACTATCATCATCATCATTACCAACAGCAGCAGCATCATCTTCGTCTTCTTCGTCGTCGTCATTACGAATATATATTTCATTCCAAAATACCTAAAACTAATAAGGTCTGAATCCAATCTGTGATTGTCTTCTCTTACTTATTCCCAATTCAAATATAATCTTTTTAATATTTTAGGTATTACTACAATCGTAAAATCTTGGAGCCTGTTATTGGAAAGAAGTTGGTGTACAGATTCGGACCGAATTCGTATGGATGGTAACAGTGCTATATTCCATGTCAAATGTTGGTGATAAACTGAAATATTGCCAAAAGCCCCGAGTGTGGGAAATCAACTCTACCCTTCAACTACTTTAGTCATTTCAACCCGTCATCGTTCCAGATAGTGGAGCATGGTATATTAAAAGGATGGCTTGAAACTCGGTTTTTTACACATTTACGTAATATCTGGTCATGTTTGTCATCTGGTGCTGAAAATTTGAAAGTCATTTTACTCTTCCAAGACTCCCGTAAATCACTGTTGGGTAGGAAAATTAGAACATTAAACGTTTCATAGTTGGCAACTAACATATTAACAGGAGATATTATTATTGGTTTACAAAAGGTTTCAAGAAAGGATTGTTTGATTCTCCCAAAAATATTTCAGATATAGTTTCCGATTTTTACTGTAACATCTAATAGAAACTAGGTCATGACGAATTGTTTGAATACCGTCCAAACATTGTGTAGATATTTTGATTAAGTATCATTTATTTAAGGTCTCAAAGTTTTACCTTTCCTGAAGGAATATTAGGCTTGTTACCGTCCTTATATCGTTACATTGGCGATTTGAAAATCATATTAGCACTGTCGTTTCGCACATATCTATATATACATACATGTACGCAAGGAATCGCACTAGTTAGATATTTAGTTATATTAAACATTCAGCTCAGTCGACATGAGCTAATTTCCCTTTGCCAAGAAAAGAGATCCCGGTAAATAAGACCTCATAATTTTGAACTGTACTGAATGCTGGGCTATACCACTGTATTTGGCAGTGTCGTTTAAACACCATTTATGATGTACTTTGTTACATTTTTCCAATAACGAAGAAATCAAAACTCCGTTGCTCATAGCAAGAATTGTTTACGAAAGGGGGATAGCTCCGATTAATGGGCAAACACCCTATTGGCAAATCTGACCAATGAACGCAGGTGTTCTTAGCCAATCATATTATGTGGCGGGAAGATTATTCTATAGCCAACTGTTTGTAAGAAGGATATGATTTACAACCTTCGAACAGCTGAAAATGTCCATATTTTTTTTATTTTTGGTAATTTTGTATGTCCGTAGTTAGATTGACTGTTGTTTATTTATTCAATGATATCATTGTTTTCACTGCCACGCTTATTTTGTGTATTTATTGTTATTTGTTGTTGACAAATTCTATTTTTTTATTAAAAACATTTAAGAAATGTGTTAGTTATTTTTTTCACGAAAGGCAGTTCAAGTAAATTCAACACTCACTCCAGGTCCAGAAGATTTAGAATGTACCTATTGATTTTAATTCTTGTTTCCATGTAACGGAGCTTCTGGCAATGACAAGGTGTCAAAAAGGGACCGTGCTCTACATGATATAAATGCGTTAAAGACTATTAATATTGGAATTATTTAATAACCACTATGACAGTGGCTCAAGTACCACTCCCAAAATAATGCAGGAAAGCATACGTTACAAAAGGTCCGGGGAGAAGCTTCAACCTACTTAATTCCACGGGCCTTCACTCATCTAGTTGAGCCACTGGACAACTGTCAAGGGGAAGCGTGTTCGTCTTCAACTATGCATCGGACAAAATGAGAATTGCCTTAGACAAACATTAAGGTGCTAACCAAGTATAACACTTGATCTAATGTGGAAGAAGGCTTGATAGCTGTCCTGAAATAAGACGAGGATTCACCATCAAAGTTTAAAGTCTGTTGGATTCTGACTACTTTAATATTGGTTTTAACAATTACATAACGATTGTCTCCCTTTGACTGAGAAACTATATTGTGCTATTTGTTAATTGGATACTCCACAATTCAGTAGATGGTGATTAATCAGTACACAATGAGCTGAGGAATCATATGTTGGTTTTACACCTTGACGACCCATAAAGATGCAACTGTCCTTTCTTCATTGTACACTATACACTCTATTGTTCGCCTTCATTAGCCAAGCAGCAGCAAAGAATAATGTTTCACTTAATTTAATTTGTATATGATGGTGCAGTGTCGTATTATATCATGATCTGTCTAGTTTAATTGTGGTCGTAATGGCTATATGATGGTTATCTCCCTTCGTTTAAAACATGACAATGTATAATACAACAATGTGCAGATCCTGGTTTTCAAAGTTTACTCATTAACAGTACACTTTATTTTGAGGAAGTATCGACACACGAAACAACGCAAGAACGACACTGTTCAATCAATCACATTTAAGTCATGCTAACAGCAGTTCAATGGTTATCTGTTTCACTTAAAAATAAAGTATGTAGTTTTGTTTTAGATCGCACTCAAATGTGTACAAATATCTTTGCTAGACTGCCGAATGCGTAAAAATAAAATGGACGCTTTCAATTAAAATCAAATGGTGTTTATTTAAACGGTATATGCTATTGGTGCTTATGGAATCACAGTCATGCCCCGACCCAAATTACTTTTGGTTTTATTTGGTTCCAATCTGTGATGGTTTTTAAAACTATAAAAGTGATCCTGGGATGAGTCAATATATTTACTCGGGATAAAACTATGATTTAGTAGATTTGATAAAATCCTTTGGTTTTTTAAATAGTCAATCGATCGTTTCCCATACCCGGCAAACCAAGCTTGGTGATCCGAATTTAATTTCTTTCCGCGTTTTCCGTATCCGGCAAACCAGGCTTGGTGATCCGAATTGGCCTTCTTCCCGCGTTTCCCATATCCGGCAAACCATGCTTGGTGATCCGAATTTATATTTTTCCCGCGTTTTCCATATCCGGCAAACCAGGCTTGGTGATCCGAATTGACGTCCTCTCCGCGTTTTCCATATCCTGCAAACCATGCCTGGTGATCCGAGTTGACGTTGTTCCCGCGTTTCCCATATCCGGCAAACCAAGCTTGGTGATGCGAATTCAACTTGCTTCCTCGTTTCCCATATCCGGCAAACCTGGCTTGGTGATCAGAAGTCAACTTGCCTCCTCGCTTTCCATATCCAGCAAACCAGACTTGGTGATCCGAATTGACGTTTGTTCCGCGTTTTCCATATCCGGCAAACCATGCTTGGTGACTCGGATTTGAATTTTTCCCGCGTTTGCCATATCCGGCAAACCAAGCTTGGTGATCCGAATTGACGTTTGTTCCGCGCTTTCCAAATCCGGCAGACCATGCTTGGTGACCCGAATTTAAACTTTTCCCTCGTTTTCCATATCCGGCAAACCATGCTTGGTGAGTTTGAAAACTAGGCTTTGGTCGCTTCCCGTATCCTGCGAACCAGGCTTGGTGATCTGGAGATTGTTTATCGTTGCGTTTATGGTATCCAGTAAGCAACGTGTGGTGGCTTGCCAAATCTTTACTAACCCGTTTTTTACCAAACCACGCTTGATGTCCCGTTGTGTCTTTACCATTCCGTTTACCATATCCGGCAAACCATGCTTGGTGGGTTTGAAAATTACGCTCCAGTCGCTTAACATAATCCCTAACCCGACTCTGTTGATCGTGGATATCATTTCTGTCGGATCGCTTCAGGGAAGGTAAGAATTTATCAATTTGGACGGGTGTTCCGTGTAAGTGCCTCAATAACGAAATTTTACTTCTGATTTTTGAAAAGTCTAAGGGTAAGATTGACCGTCTCTTCCGTTTAGTGGCTGAAAACCGCAGGTCTCTTTGTTTATATACATTGTCATTTTTGTGCCCTTTTGCTTGTTGATATTGGTTGATAAAACTATCGTGATTGACAAACGGTTTGTATTCAAAAGGATGAGATTGGATTGTTCGCGATTGATGAGGTATCACTTGATGGTGGGATTTCTGCTTGCTCAAATAATCAGCTATGCTCCTTTTACCATATCCAGAAAACCAGGCTTGATGACCACCACTAGCACTAACTAAAATATCCGACAGTCGTTTTCCATAATTAGCGAATAACTCTCGACTGGGGGCAGTGGATAACCATTCAAGCAGCTTCTGACTGACAACTGACGTACGTCGACCACCAACTACATTCAATAATATCCTTTTCACAAATATGTTATCGTCACTTTGTGGATTGTCACTTATCAACTGGACTACGTGTCCGTTTCTCAATCGTTTAGAGAAACTAGCTGGCGAATGTGTCTGAGGAATTTGAAGGTTGGTGGTGATGTCCAGTAACGATTTTAAATCTTGGTTGCTGATTTGGTAAGTTTCTTCCAAGGCACTCAACTCTGAAATGATAAAGAAACAAACATTATAATGTGGAATATTAATCACATTGGATTCCTTCGTAGCGAAATCTTAACACATTGTCCCTGAACTATCGGGGGTTATGTTTCTAAAAAATGATGAAGCTAAAGCTCCTGAACGACAACATAATTAGAAGGTTTCGCTTCAGAGAATGTTTGGGTTATTGTCCCAGAACTACAAATCAATTAGAGAATTATGTTTCTTAAAATGGTGGGGATAATGCCCCTGACAGTACCAAATAATCTGAAAGTTATGTGTCTTTGAATTACGGCGTTATTGCCCCTGAAAGTATAAAATAGTTGGATGGTTATGATTCTTAGAATGATTTGGTTATTGTCCATGCTCCTACCCAACAATTACAAAGTTTTGTTTCTTAGAATGATGGGGTTATTGTCCCTTAACTACCAAATAATTACAAAGTTCTGTCTCTTAGATTGGTGAGGTTATTTCCCCTGATAGTACATAATGGTAAGAAGGTTATGTTTCTTAGAATCACTGGTCCCTGGGAGCACTACATTACTAAAAATAGATTATTTCCCATGAAAGTACCAATAATTAGACGGTTAAAATTCTTAGAATATTAGGGTTATAGCCCCTGAAAGTATCAAATAGTTACAGGGTTAGTAATGGGGTTATTGCCCCTGAACTACCAATTAATAGAAAGATTATTTCTTTATCAATTGATACAGATATCAATAATGAACTGGTTAGTTATAATCGAGGGTGTCGTGTGCATGTAATAACTACAGATCAAAAGGATTATCATAACCGCGTGATAAAACACTTAACATCTCTCAAGTTACCTAATAATAAAATAATATTAAATAAAAACCTGGTAATTTATCATTCTTATCTGTTTTATTGTCGTCTCTTATCTCCAACCTGAGACATAAACGAATATCCTCAGGAATTATAATAAGCAGGAATAAAAGGGATCGTAAGTACCATCAAGTTGATTGTCAAGTCGTTTGATCCGACGAAAGTTGTTCACTACCATACCAACTGTTCCAAACCATCCCATTGGTCCAAATTCTACTACCAACAACCAGTACCCGAAACATCCTCAGAAACTATATTGAGCAGAAGTTAAAGGGGTTGCAAGTACCACCAAGTTGACCGCCATGGAATTCGACAGACCAAATTGGAAGATTTTTCTACTATCAATCCATCCAATTGATCCTGTGCCAACTACCAGATACCACGACTACCAACAACTGCCTTGTCTTCGGTATCAATTAGTTGGAAGCGGACCAGGACCTAAATGCTACAAGCTATGCACATCAAATAGCAGTCTACAGTTCAAAAGAAACCAAACTACATTCATGGCCATGTTTTGCCAAATATCCCTTACGACTCACTGGAAGACGTGGCTAGTCCTCATTTAGTTATGGGTGGGACCTAAAATTCCAGTTCATGTTATAGACTTAAAAATCAGGACTAGGCTTGATACTGCCTTTTAATTATGAAATTAGGAATAATTCCCATTTTGTAATTACACAATCTATGTGAATATTGACACAATATCGATATGTGAATCTAATTTCCATTAAACAAGTCCCTTGTCTCCTTGACAATAACTCACACATTCAGGTCAAATCAGGAATGTCTCCTACTCAGTCCAATTTCACAAATTATCAATTTTCTGACAGCTTGGATTTTAAATCTTATTTTTGTTATTCCAACCTTTAGACAAAAAAGGGTAAAATAGTTGATTAGTTTTGAAATGATGTTATGATTTATTGCTCAAGGTCTGTACCTGATACTATTTTGGTTTCTATATGTTCTGTTAACACCTGCTCTGTCCCTTTCTTCTCTTATCTTCCAAGTTTTTTCTGAACTTTATTTTCGCGCCTGCTATTCATTCCAAAGGTTATACCAAACCATAATGCCTTCAATTGCGTAATGGGCATCACACAATTTCCAAGGATAAAAATGTGCTGTAGGTGTATTTCTTTATAAAGATGAATTTTGGTCCGCAATATTTTAGTGCAAGTCTCAATCTAAGGCTGTAGCGTAATCTAAGTTGTCTTGGGGGATTTACAGTATATAATTGAGGATAACAAGGTTCTCGAGGACCCTGTCTAAAAACTGGTCCTTGGCTAAATACCTCGGCATTGATCTAAAGCAGTTTTCGCTGTTTTGGTCAAATGTTCCCGTCCTCATTAGCCCAACCAGGTGGAAACCGTAGGGCGTTAGACTCCATTTCATGCATTTCTGCATTGATCAATTCCTAAATATCCATGCAAATTTACAGCCGTATCAACTGAAAAAATGCGGAAAGATGTTCTAGATCTGCACGCAAATCGTTAAGTCACCACAACATGGTCTTAAAAGTTGACAATCGATCTCATATATAAAATAAAGCGACCATTTTTGGTTTCCTGAGAGCTTAATTCTTTGAAAGTCAATTAAAATAATGGATAAAGAAGTTCGTTAATTTTGTGTCGCCTACAAATATCTGATGTCTATAAATAATAGATTAGGGAGGCTGGTAATTGTTGGAGCCATCATTATTAAAACACCTGTCTGAGAAAAACTTGTCAACTGTAGCCTTTGGGAGAAACATGTAAGTGTAAGCTATCATATTGGGCATTCTAAACTGTTTAAGATACCTTCAGATATTATGATCTGAAAACATTATCATGAACGATAATTTCAGAATTAACCAATCAATAAATTAATTTAGTGTCTGCAAGTTCCAAATATTGAGGTTATCCTATTCGTATATACATATGCCTGCTATTAACAACACTTTTAATCAGTTGAAAATTTTGTTTATCTCATTAAATTTCAGTTTCTACAATCGCTGATAGAACTTCTTAAGACAAGGTAGATCTTGTATGAGCTAAGTAAATCAATCACGGTCATTAATTAGCTCAGTCATTCATTCGCCCACTTATTAATTAGCTCAGTCATTAGTTCAGTCACTCATTAGCTCAGTCATTTATTAGTTCAGTCATTTATTAGTTCAGTCATTCATTAGTTCCATCATTCATGAGCCCAATCTTTCATTGGCTCAGTCATTCATTACCTTATTCATTCAGTCGTTCATTAGCTCAGTAACCTATTTACTTATTCATTCATTAGCTCCACCATTCAGTCGCTAGGTCATTAATTCGTCATTCATAATATTTTTGCACTTTTTATGTTTTGTTTTGTACGGTTCCGGTGTCTTTTAATATCATTCCACGTTTAGTTATAACTTCCGGGTAACATTTGGCCAGCCAGAAACTGCTGGTGGGAAGTACTATCATTCCACAATCATTAGTTTATAACCTCCTGAGTCACAAGCTCGGTTCTTTATGTTTCAATAAGCAAATAAGTTGCATTATCATTCATTCAAGATACTTGTATGGTAAACTTTACTGGAAAAAGAGAATATATCTGCGATCGCATTTCCGCATTATTTCGGTCGATCCAACTAAAAACGAGTGTCCGATCGACCTAGATGTAAAATAGCACATATTGCGAGCCAAGAGAGAAAATATCAAAAATGGCAACCCATAAAAGATCCTTGAGAATTGTAGCATCTTCACAATGTCAAACTATGACGAACTGTGTTTACTAACCTTGACTTCATATTGGCCTCTTGTGTCACGGATGCAGCGATTTCATTAGATTGTATTTTAGCGAATACAGCCAACCAGAGGCTATTACTAGTGACAGACTTTCTCTCCAAGTCTCTGGTTGACTGTATGCGCTAGCCTGTAATCCGATTAAATTGCTGCATTTACAAGCTTACGTGATACATGAAAGGAAACTAATGGAAGTATTGGACGCGGTTTGTTTTTTCTTGACATTGTGAGGATGGAATTGTAGCTATTATAATGACCTGCTCCACCTATAGAATGGAGCATGCAATAAGAAAAAAGGTACGATCGACTGTTTTTATGATTTTTTTTTTCATTTATGTGTCGACTTGTAAAACATCACGGTGTCCTAAATGAGCAACCGTATTAGTACTTTTTCATATTACCTATAACCTTTACAAATTGCACATAGATTCTTAAACTTAATGAATCGAGACACTTCAAAACATTATATTCTTTTCTAATAGAAGTTATATTAGGCTGAAATAAACTTTCAAAAGCATGTTATTGTCATTGCTTGTCTTTAAGTATACGAATAAATAAAGGTGAGATCTGGTCTACTGGCCATTTAAAGCCTCTCATTGGATGCATATCGCGAAATCGATCGACTACTAGTAACTGCAATCAACTGATTGTCTCAGACTGTTAGTTGAAAATCCAATATTTTTTTCAGTTTTACTGAACTCAAGAGCAACCCGGGATCCATTCAGTTTTAATAAACACTCTTTCCAGAGCGTGACCATTTTCTACTTATTTTAATATGCACTTTACATTTAAATTTCAGATTCAATATATAATGACTAAAACGTGACAAGTTCAAACAATTTTCTAAATTCAGCTTTGATTGGTTATATTTAACCATCACGAAGCTATGGGATTCTTTGTACCCTTTCTGTTGGGAGCAGTGGCGATTCTACCATTTTACATAGTGAAAGTTCCGGCTCGGCCCCCTCACTTGATATTTCCTAGAAACGTCACTGGTTAGGAGCCTGTCAGAGAATGAAGTTAAAATGTTAAACAAACTGATGTTATAACCATGGTGAATATGGGTCAGTTAGTGATATAGTGGTTGTAGATGATATTCACTCAATCCTCAATTTATTATATTATCTGGCAAAGTCATTTTTTTAATGTATTTCGTATCTCAAGGGAGATAACTTATTTTTTAATTTTTATATTTTAATTATATTAATTTATAAAAAAAAACTCACATTTTTTAAAGATGGTTTCCTTTATGTTTTAGTGTCAAATTAAGAAAAACATTTGATTAATTGGTGTTTCTAACGAATTATCAGGAATTCTTAATCATATCATTATGTTCTTGTTGCATATAATTAAGAGTTTTAACCAAACATAAATGTCCATGTTTGTTCAGTCTGGATAACTAAAAAAGACTTTTTGACCTTTCTCGATCGGTCACTCATTGGTAATTCTCTTCTAATTTAGCCAATTATGAATTAATTATGGACATGTGAGACAAACTGGTATTTTTCCAAGTATTTTTAACAAAGAATCAGTTTGTAGACACAATACTAATCTACAAGGAATATACGGGTGCTTCTTTCTATTAATTCTTTCGCCAACATGACATTTTCACATTTCAATGATATATCTATTTTGTCAAATGCCCCATCCTTCACTGTCCAACAAACTTTGGAAAACACCTTTTGTTTAAGACTAATTTCAGATCTATACGTATGTCAAACGATTGGTAAATCCAAGAAAGATGGATGGTGTATGACCGAGGCTATATGAAATAGGAGACTGGATGAAAATTATAAACTTGTATTACCAATGACATTAACAGTTATCATGCAATTTTTCATTTTGTTTAAAAACCTACCGTTTTTCAAAGTTAAAAAGAGTAGATGTAATTTATTACTATATTTAGACTGAGTTATATTGGTATACCATTAGGCTTACTCTAATTCCAATAGTTTTTCTTTTTAGATCAGATAGAAGTCTTGGTGCTGTGATGACATGGTTATGAAATTTAGTGCAACTATGACTGACAACACAGCGTAGGATTTGTTGACGATATATTCTAATGAATCTTCATGAATAGTTGACAACAGGTCTTAGACTATAGGTACTATGATTCAGATCGTTCGTTATATTCAGGTGAATGATTCTCCGAACAGTATTGTTGTCCCATCCGTTGGCTTAAATAATAGTCCAAAAATACATAAAAGTTTGGATGCAATCGATTCGGTATGGTCGACCTGAAGAGCAGACAGGCGTATGTTTCAGTAATTTTAAAATTCGCAGCGATCGGGAGAAAAAATTCACTCGAGAACCCAAAGATCATGGCATTCGGCCTACTTGATGTGCATGTTTAAGATGCCTCAATAATTAGAAATCGAGAAGGTCAAATTGTCCTTTCTATGTCGGTGTTCGTCGTCACTGGACAAATACAAGAAAGGAAAGATATATAACTCACGATATAGAAATATAGTAGGTGATATATATATGATATGTATAATATTTTTCTTATCTACTCCTATGACCTATTAGTGCCGAGGTGACAAAAGTTGCCGAATCAACGCGGAAATCTGATCGCCATATTATATTCTATTATATTGGTTACATTAATCTACACCGAGGTCGTACCAATACATTCCTCTTAGAAAATAAAGATCACTCACAAGATATCCATGGGCAATATAATCAGGGAATGAATTAACCCTATCACCGATAAGAATTAAATAGGATATATTGATGACGGACCGGATTAAAACTATGCGATATGAATTCCCACGACACCGCCTCATTCGGCTATTAATTTTGTTACAATGCCCTTCCTATTTTCATGGTAATTTGTCGTATTTATGGACACAAAGATTATCATTACTGCAAGTAATTAGTCAAAATGTTTAAATTCTTTGAGGGAGGCAAGTAAGGTCCAGTTCAAAACATGCCATTTCATCACAAATACAGATACAGAATATGACATATATATATAATATCTGTCTTTGCCAGTGAGTCGAGTTAGGACTAGTTATGGTTCAAAACATCTTGACTGCAATAGCCAACTTTCTTGTATCCAGAATGCAGCGATTTGACTGGATTGTTCACGAATACGCGACAGAAAGGCTATAACATTATGGCTTTGTGTTCACAGACTTTCTTTCGACGCTTCTGATTGGCTGTATTTGCTAGCGTACAATCCAATCAAATCGCTTCATTTACAAACTTCTATGATACAAGAAATTTGAATATTACAGTCAATGTATAAGTTCGTAGTTGCTCTACATAAGGAGCCACAGAAAGAAAGTTCAGAAAAACAGGACATAAAAATGACAAACATGTTAATTGAGTCCACGAAATAAATATGAGTTCTAAAGTTTGTGACTTCCTCAAACGATTCCGTCAACTTTCTATAATGTCAAATCATACCGCCTGGTATCGTACGACATTTCCAAAACCATCTCTATTGAGACTACATTCATAATACCAAGGTTTACCGCTATCACAGAGACTAATTATAATATCATGTCGGTCGGGCTTTCTATCTCTTTCTTTATACCCAAGGCAAATGTGTTAGTTATCCCGTGCCTCGAGAGGTCGATGTCTCAGTTTGGACGAGAGACCTTATTCTTGAAAACTTAACTTAAAATGATTTCAGTGTTCAAGCCATTTGATTGGTCTATCACTAAAATTGATTTTAAATTAAGTTTTGTTATCGAATCAGATTACTGTATTTCATAAAATCTGGATTCTATTAAAGTTAATTTTGGAGAATGGGCCCTAAGGGATGTTATATGTTTACTAGTTAATTTTACAATATTGCCAAAAAGTTGTTTACTCAGTTCAGCGCCTTTTGCTTGACTATCCTATCGAAGTTACAGATTCAAAATTCCTACAGATTCAAAATTCTGTTTGGTTATCACCTTCTGTTTCGACTTAATCTTAAAACCGGCAAAACAAGACAGCAGTTTTTTTTTAATTTCCTTATCCTCATTTAGTTTATAGATTTTAAATCCAGAAGTGATAAATCATATTGTCATTACAGGAATTCGAATTTTTACACCAAAATGAAAATAACCCATAAATTATGCTGTCGGCGTTTTGGAAAAAAAAACAGTAAATTACATACAAAGACGTATTTATCGAACAGGAAAGATATGTTTCCTTTAGACAATTCAAATAAAAACAATATATTTTAGAGAATGATAAGCGCTGACAGTCTACACAATGTAGCAAGTCGACGGAACATACATTCGTTTTTCATTATTCCGGAATTTATTGATGTTATTATAATAATAAATTCCCCACGCACAATGCTATAACAATCAGTTCACCATCTTTCTTATACTTCTTACGTCAATTCTTTTAAAAAAGTTCTTGGCTTACTTTGAACTATTCGTACAAAACGTTCATATTTCATTATCCTTATATAAATATACCATATAAACATGATGAGCACTGTAACTTTCCAACACAGATGTCCATTTGCTATATCCGGTCAGTCAGAAGCGTTATTTCAGAAGGGTGGGCATGTTCTGCGTCAATACCTACGACAATAAGCTTTTTATTTTTAATCTTGAAAAATAACAGTCCTCAGTTATCGACCTATTGGTATGAGATTTTAGTAATAGTTATTTGGAACTGCTTAAAATGGTTCTGAACTGCAAAACCTATTTGAAGAGTTCTATAGAAGGATGAACATTCAACAAAATATGATACAAACTTGCCCATTGTTAACAGATTGTGGTACAATATAACTTAATTGAAGGCAAGCATACGGTAAAATTATACCAGGGCATTCAGTTTTCAAGTGTTGACGGTTCCTTGGGTTGCTTAACCTGAATCTCAACTAAGACGATTTTGAGTTAATAACCACCAGAGGCGACCAGGGCCGTAAAATTACGTAGAGACAGCCACCGTCCTAAAACTTAAGTCAAAAGGCGATACACACATTTGGATTTTTCAAAACTCGGATGTAATTTCAGTTTCAGCTTCCTAAATGACCCCAAAACAATCGCCTGAA